TCTGTATTGTTCCAATTTTAGCATATGTGCTCAAACCAGCACACTATCCACTAGTTTAAAGCAATCAAACAACACAGTTCCCACAGCCATAAAAAAGAATGGAATCATTTCCTTTGCAGCAACATGGATGCAGCTGGAGACTATTGTGCTAGGTGAATTAATGAAGAAACAGAAAACCAAGTAACACCCGTTTTCACTTGTAAGTGGGAGCTAAAGATTTGAGTACACAGTGACACGAAGATGGGAACAATAAACACTGGGGATTCCAAAAGGGAGAGGGGTGGGCAAGGGTTGAAAAATGACATATTGGGTAAAAAACCCAAAACACAGTTCCGCGGTGTATATTAAAGGAAAAGATGATGTTAAATTACGAACAGTGAGGCTCTCTGGGTCGTTTGCCATGCTTATTTGCCCTCACGGAATTCTACGTGACACTGGCTTTCATTTTATGTGTTCCCCTTTCATTTTATGCTTGTTTACGATGTTCAATAAGCCTTCCTAGAGGGGTAGACCGTGGACTTTGAGACCTGGAATCAGTCTGTGGCTTAGGTGTGTAGTAGTTACGTAACTCTAGCAATTTACTGAATTCTGTGAAAGATAAAGCCAGACACTAAGTTGGTAAGGACAGATTTTAATCAGTAATGACCTACTGTAATGGGAAAGAGGGTCCAGTGTGAACAACTTTTCATTTGTACACAGGCGACTGTGCCTTTTAAAGGGAGAATGAAGAATCAGGAAGTGGAAGCAGGGTTGCTCACTGGAAATGTTGGTTAGGCCAGCTGTATCCGATAGCTGGCAATTAGCAAAGTTAGGATTCTATTCTCCCACTCTGAAGACCAAAAGACAGAGGTCTCAGCATTTCTGATGATTACGTTTCAGAGGAATGGCTTTCAGGGTCTTGAGAAAGACACTCTTTTTTTTTTTTTTTTTTTTTTTTGAGATAGAATTTCTCTCTTATATCTCAGGCTGGAGTGCAGTGTGGCGATCTCGGCTCACTGCAACCTCTGACTCCTAGGTTCAAGCAATTCTCCTGCCTCAGCCTCCTGAGCAGCTGGAACTACAAGTGCACACGCCCACGCTGGGCTTTTTGTATTTTTAGTAGAGATAGGGTTTCACCATGTTGGCCAGGCTGGTCTTGAACTCCAGACCTCAGGTGATCCGCCTGCCTCGGCCTTCCAAAGTGTTGGGATTACAGGTGTGAGCCACCGCGCCCGGCAGAGAAATACTCCTGAGTCACAGGAGATACATCTCAAAGGGACAGAGGAAGAATTCACAATTGTAAGCCCTTTTCAGTAAATGCTTTAAGAAAGGGCAGTCAGGGGCCTATTGTCAGAAGTTGGTTAGTACAAACACCAAATTTTTGGCAGCCTAAACATTCTCCGGAAGGGACTAGAGTCATTCTAGCGGTGCTAGGGTCATCGTAGCCATGCAACTTTGAGCTATGTTAAGTTAACCCCCCTACCCATGTATAAATTTAGAAAAGGAGATGGAGACTGTTTCTTCTAAAGGGTTACAACCTGCAAGGTAGCCATTCCGGAGGCTGGGGAGCTGCCTCCAGCAGAAACTCAGAGAGCAGCACTTTGAAGGAGGAAGCTTTGAGGTACGAGCTTCATGCGGAACAGGTTGGCTAAACGTATATATTCAACAGGTTACAGGAGGAGCTATGAATATTCATGAAGGTGGTCCTGCTACAAGCGTATTGAAGAAACATGCATGTAACATACAACTCATGTATATTCACTTTGGGATGGTGACTTAACATTTAAATAGATTACAATTAGGCCCTATATGTCTAAAGGTCTTTCAGGACATAAAGACACAAGTGCACAGCCTCTGTAAACCAGAGCCAGTTCACTTCATAGTCAGTGAGCCTCTTATCAGGAGAAAGTTATTGAAATCAGTCTCTTGTCTAATCAAAGTTGTAGTTATGGCTTGCAGGTAAGAGTTAAAGAGGATCAGGTGCAGTGGCTTATGCCTATAATCCCAGCACTTTGGGAGGCCGGGGTGGGCGGGTCACCAGGTCAGGAGTTTGAGGCCAGCCTGACTAACATGGTGAAACCCCATCTCTACTAAAAATACCTAAATTAGCCAGGTATGGTAGTGTGTGACTGTAATCCCAGCTAGTCAGGAGGTTGAGGCAGGAGAATTGCTTGAACCCGGAGGCGGAGGTTGCAGTGAACTGAGATCCTACCACTGTACTCCAGTCTGGGACTCAAAAAATAAAAAATAAAAATAAAAAGAGTTAAAGAAAGAGTAAAGAAACACAGAATGCACTGGCAGTTGAAGACAGGTTTACTTCAGATGAAACCTGAGAGGAGCTCCTGGCCTACTTTGGTCAGGAGTGCTTTCTCTTACAGACTAAGAGTATATATTGGTTTTAGGGTGAGGGGGCTTATCGCAAGCTTGGAATATTTATGTGTGTGGAGACATTTATGGCGGGTTGGAATCTCTCTGGGAGGCGGGGAGGCATCTTGGGGCAGACATCTTTCCAGCCCAGAGGGGAGTTATCTTGGGGCTAGAATCTTCCCAGCTGGAGGGGGGGTTTATCTTGGGGTTAGCTGGTCTCTGGTCTGGGAGGAGTCTGGGATGTTTCTGGTTGGAGATGTTATTTGTGGTTTATGGTCATGCTGACCTCAGCCTTTAGGCTGATGCCCTTTGGATTTAGGTGTTTTTTCAATCAAGGTGAACTTTAGAATGAAAAGCTTTTCCAAGACGGCAATGCTCCTGCTCTGTCATTGTGGAAGAGCGGGCTGGTTAGATGGCGTCTGGTGGTGTATGGGTGGTAACTGCTTTACTATTGCTTATGTGGAAGCCAGTGCTTGTTTGGCTGCTAAAGAAAAAGAAAAGCCTTGTAGCCATTAGAACAGAACTTATTCTTGGAGTGACTTAACTCTTGCCTGGCATGGCCTTAGGTCTTGTTTATAATTTTTGTATCTTATTGCCACAAAGAGTCTGTTCTGTCTCCTGGTCTCTGTTTTATCATCAATGCTGGCCAGCTGTGTTTAAACTGTAAGAGAGGGTATAGGCAGGTGCAGTGCTTCACGACAGAACTAGGGGAGGCCAAGGTGGACAGATCACGAGGTCAGGAGATCGAAACTATCCTGGCCAACATGGTGAAACTTCATCTTTACTAAAAATACAAAAAACTAGTTGGCTGTGGTGGCACGTGCCTGTAGTTCCAGCTACTCAGGAGGCTGAGGCAGGAGAATAGCTTGAACCTGGGAGGTGGAGGATGTAGTAAGCCGAGGTTGCACCACTGCACTCCAGCCTGGGTGACAAAGCAAGACTCTGTGTCCAAAAAAAAAAAAAACAAAACACCACCACAACAAAAGGGAGAGTTCAATGGCATAATGAGGCATGTCTGACCTCCCATCAGAAGGGAACGTAGCTGGGAACTAAGTCTTTAAGTTTTTTCTTGAGCCCTCTTGACCAAAAGGGGTTCCATTCAGTCAGGAGGGGCTTAGGATTTCTTTAGTTTACGGCTGTGAAACTATGTTAGTGTTTAAGTCTTTTAGTGTTGGGGGACATGGGTGGATAAAATCATTTGTGTTGAGAATCTGTAGTTTTAACAGGATTTGTGCTCAGGGGAATGTGTCTGGAGTTCACTGGTCAAGGAGAGAATGTTTGTTAACGGCCATGTAAAAAATGGGAGTATGCATTATTTTCCTCCCTCATAAAAGGCAAGTATCCATTTCAGCTGTCCATTTTCTACCTGTCTCGAATGCGGTTGTATGAGAGCGTGATGCCTAGAGCTGCAGCATCTGCCTTGAAACCATGAGGAAACAAACAAATGTGAATAGCCAACTTCTTAAGGATGATAATGTGGAAAGTTAGAGTGTTGATCTTTGATGACATCATGGAAACATGGATCTGTTAAAATAATTAAATAGTGGGCCATTAGACTGAGGTAGGTAGCTCTAATACCATGGGTTCCTACATAAGCAAACCAAAACCTAACTCAGAATTTAAAAGAAAATGAAACTTAAGCTCAGCTAATCACAACTGGTCTACTGGGCATTAGTTATATTGTGTTGAACTTCCCATAGGAATAACTCAAATAAGGTACTTGATCAAACTTTGACTAATCAAATGATTTCCTTGCTCTATGTGCACATTAACTCTATAAAAGCCTTCCTCTGGTGCCACTTTAAAAAAATTATTCTTTTCTGCTTTTAACAAGGTCCATTGCTTCAACAACTGGCGCCACTTTAGAGAAGACCTAAGCCCTTTGGTTTGGAGCTGCCTGATTCATGAATTTCTGATTGCTCAAACAGTTGTTTTTTTGAGACGGAGTTTCATTCCTGTTGCCCAGGCCGGAGTGCAATGGCACGATCTTGGCTCACTGCGAACTCCACTTCCTGGGTTCAGGCGATTCTCCTGCCTCAGCCTCCCGAGTAGCTGGGATTACAGGCATGTGCCACCATGTCCAGCTAATTTTGTATTTTTAGTAGAGATAAGGTTTATCCATGTTGGTCAGGCTTGTCTTGAACTCCCCACCTCGGTTGATCTGCCCGCCTTAGCCTCCCAAAGTGTTGGGATTACAGGCGTGAGCCACCGCGCCCGGCCAATCTTTAACATTTTAATGTACCAAAGTTTATCTTTTAACAATTCCAAATCTGTATACATGTATTTCTAGCCCCCCCGCCCCTTTTTAAAAAATAAACTTTAAATTTCAGAATAGCTTGATATACTGAAAAGTTGCAAATGTAGTACAGAGAATTCCTGTATATCTCTTACCCAGTTTCTCCCCAAAGCAACATCTTACTACTATGGTACATTTGTCACAACTGGCAACCATGACTGTAACAGTACTACTAACCAAGCTCCATGCTTTATTTGGATTTCACTACCTTTCCTCCTAACGTGCCCTTCTATTCCAGGGTCCTCTTCAGTGTCCCGCATTGCGTTTAGCTGTCACATCTAAATAGATGTTTCCCGGCGCGGATCTCGAACCCGCTGGGATTGGGCGTTGGCGGCGAGGCCGCCGAAACTGCGCACGCGCGAGCCGGAAGCAGCAGCCCGCGGCGGAAGAGGTGGGCCCGGCAGACTGGCGACTTGGATTGCTTAAGACGCGAGGCGGTTGCGACGGCCTTCAGCCTCTCCCTCTGCAGCTCTGGCTCGTAACCTTAACTTGCGTTCATTTAGGGCTGCTTGCTGTTTCCACGTGCCTTGGGCCCGCCCACTGCAGCCGCCATCTTGGGGGCGGTCGCCGACGCCTAGGTGAGCCGGTAGGACTTCCGGGTCGGGCCTCTGGTTGCCGGGGTAACCGGTGCAGAGTCGCCCTGGAGCGTTCCTTGGTCTTTCATTCATTAGCGTAAGAAGAACTGACTTCAGGTCGCAGGTCCCTTCCACGGCGGGCGTTATCGTGTGCGCTGCAGTAACCACTCATCGTGTGGAATCGTTCACTCAGCGCACATTGCTCCAAGGCGCTGCGGAACGCTAAGGAGCCTGAGGCCCGGGGGTCCTGTGGCGGCGGGAGCGGTGTGTGTCGGAGTGCAGGGCGGCCTCGGCTAGAGTTTGACTGTGGGGTCGAGGACGGTGCCCGCGTCTGTGGCGGCCACACGTCTCCGCGTGGTTCTTAGCAGGGTGCTGGTGGACAGCTCTCGCGAGGGCCCGGGACTCTTGGGGGAACTTCCCGGCGCCGTCTGCGGACGGAGCGCTGGGCCCCGGAGCCGAACTCGCCGACTTTCAAGAAGTCAAGTAATGAACCTTGCTTAAACTGCCGAAGTGCGGTTTTAATACTGCCTGGAGTTCTTGTCTCTTATTCATTTCTGCCCTCTTACGTTTTAGGAGTAGATTTATTTCATTTTTATTTATTTATTTTTGAGTCTCCCTCTGTCGCCCAGGCTGGAGTACAGTGGTGCGATCTTGGCTCGCTGCAACCTCCGCCTCCTGGTTTCAAGTGATTCTCCTGCCTCAGCCTCCAGAGTAGCTGGGATTACAGGTGCGCGCCACCACGCCCAGCTAATTTTAGTGTTTTTAGTAGAGTCGGGGTTTCACCATTTTGGCCAGGCTGGTCTTGAATTCTTGACCTCAGGTGATCCACTCTCCTTGGCCTCCCAAAGTGCTGAGATTGCAGGTGTGAGCCACCGCGACCGGCCCTTTTTTTGTTTTTATTTTTACTTACGTAATTATTTGTTGAGACGGAGTCTCGCTCTGTCACGCAGGCTGGAGTGAAGTGGTGTGATCACAGCTCACTGCAACCTTCACCTCCCAGGTTCAAGCGATTCTCCTGCCTCGGCCTCCTCAGTAGCTGGGATTACAGGAGCGTGCCACCACACCCAGCTGATTTTTTGTATTTTTAGTAGATTAAGCTGTAGTTAGTAGGGCTGAAGATTAAACTGTTTTAGAGGGACTGATATAATGGGAATTTTGTTACTGTAGGGATCATGATTTAGCTCACAGTATAAATCTTTTATGTAGAAAAACACTTGAGAGAATCAGTATACCAAAGTACACATTTGTTTAAAGGTACAAAGAACAGTGAGCATCATATAACTGGAAAAACAAAGGTTTTTTTAAATTTTAGATTGAGCATCTCCACAGAAGTTACAGTTTTATCCTTTTTTAAGAACTAGAACTGTGTTTCCAAAAGAAGAAACTACAGTTTTATCATGCAGAAAGGAAAAGGAAGAACAAGCCGCATCAGAAGACGAAAACTCTGCAGGAGTGCTGAATCAAGAGGAGGTACAGTTTTTCTTTTAGTGCCAGTGATGAAAAAAGAAATCCTTTTGTGATTGCTTGTTTGTTCATACACATAGCTTTTTTTTTTCTGGGCCTGAGTTTTGCTCTGTCGCCCAGGCTGAAGTGCAGTGGTATGATCTCTGCTCGCTGCAACCTCCGCTTCTCGGGTTCAAGTGATTCTCCTGCCTCAGCCTCTGAAGTAGCTGGGACTACGGGTATGCACCACCACGCTCAGCTAATTTTTGTTAGGATTAAAATTTGTTAATCCTAACAAAAATTCAAAAATTTAAAATTTCAAAAATTTGATTCAAAATCCTAGAGATAGGATTTCACCATGTTGGCCAGTCTGGTCTTGAACTCCTGACCTCAGGTGATCTTCCTGCCTTGGCCTCCCAAAGTGCTGGGATTACAGGCATGAGCCACTGTGCGCAGCCTAACACATAGCTTTTCTTAAAGGCACACAGTGTTCAAAGAGAATCTTTTTTAGAGTGCAGTGGTGTGATCATGGCTCTCTACAGCCTTGAACTCCCAGGCTCGAGTGATCCTCCTGGCTTAGCCTCCTTCCTGCCTCAGCCTCCCAAGTACCTGGGATTACAAATACATGCCACTGCACCAGGCTACTGTTTTTTAAAATTTTTTTTTAGCCACAGGGTCTCACTATGTTGCCCAGCCTGGTCTTGAACTCCTGGGCTCAAGTGGTCCTCCTGCCTTGGCCTCCCAAAGCATTGATGACAGGTGTGAGCCACTGTGCCCAGCCCAAAGACAATATTTCTTAAATAGCAATCTTTTGAATGGTGCCCTTATGTTTTTTTAGATCCTGGTGGGAATGTGAAGATATCTAACTCATTGTTTTCAGCTGTCTTCTCTGGGAATGACTCCAAGTTTCTTTTTCTGGTCTTGACCTTCAGCTACCTGCAGGATAGCAATGTTTGGATATAAATTTATCATTTCAAATTCAAGGTAACCCAATCTGAAGAAGATATTGTATCTTGTTCAGTACAAAAGTGCTTAGCTGTCTGGAAAGTCCTATGTAAATGCAACTGGGTATGGTACAGGATAAGTTCCCCCGCCTTTTTTTTTTTTTTTTTTTTTTTGCTTATGGAGATCAATAGTTGTTTGATCATTTATTAAAGAGACTGCCTTTTTCCAGTGAATTGCCTTTGCACCTTGTCAAAAATCAGTTGTCATGTATGTATGGGTCTCTTCCTATTTTCTGTCCTGTTCCACTGACCTGTTTGTCTGTGTTGACAATATCACACTAATTTGATTCCTCTAGTTTATAGTTTTAAAATCAAGTCTTTCAAAGACATTGTGGCTATTCTAGGCTTTTCGTATTTCCATATGATTTTTGGGATCAGCTTGTTAATTCCTATACAAAAGCCTGCTTGAATTTTGATTAGGATTACACTGAATGAATATAGTCATATGTTGCATAAGGATGTTTCGGTTGATGGATTACATATACAGTGGTGGTCCTATCAGTTATAATACTGTATTTTTCTTTTTTCTTTTTTTAGAGATAGGGTCTTTCTATGTTGGCCAGGCTCGTCTCAAACTCCTGGCCTCAAGCAGTCCTCCTGCCTTTGCCTCCCAAATGCTGTGAGCCACTGTACCTGGCCAATACTGTATTTGTATTGTACCTTTGCTATGGTTAGATATGGCAGTGCTTATCTTTGTATAAGTCTGTCTATACAGTTCATCAGATGTGTTCTGTTAAAATGGAGATCCAATTATATAGTGGTTTTAAACACCATTTGTTCTCTGCTTGCCTGATAGTGAATGAGAGCTACAAGGCTGAATTTATAGAGCTAAGGAAGTGGTTGAAAGATAGGAAGTTTCAAGATTCGAACTTAGTGCCTGCATGTTTTCCAGGTAAGATCCCTCCTTCAGCTGTCCTGCCCTTTCCTACATGAGAGCCAGGTAGACAGCAGGGGCAACTCTTACAGGTGGCATCAGCAGATGTTTACAGCTGTGCTCCTCTTGGGTTGGAGGAGGAGCCCCCCATGTGTGGCCAGTTAATTGCAGAGCAGTGGGCTTCAGCACTGAGATGAGGTAGACTGACATTCTCTTCTGGAACTTGTACTTATTGTGGAGGTTAGGTTAACGTTTTACCAGGTGCAGTGGCTCATGTCTGTAATCCAGCACTTTGGGAGGCTGAGGCAGGCGGATCACTTGAGCTCAGGAGTTTGAGACCAGCCTGGCCAACATGATGAAATCCTGTCTCTACTAAAAATATAAAAATCAGCCAGGCGTGCTGTTATGCCCCTGTAGTCCCAGCTACTCTAGAGGCTGAGCTGGGACGACTGCTTGAGCCTGGGAAGTTGAGGCTGCAGAGAGCCATGATGATGCCCCTGCACTCCAGCTTGGGTGATAGAGTGAGACCTTGTCTCAAAAAACTAACAAAAACCAAACACAAAGCATTTTCTTCTGGAACATTCTTTCACAGAAGTTGGACAGCTTGCTGTGGGCGTGTGTCTGCATAGATGGCCACTCCACTCTTCCCACAGGGGGGCAGGAGACAGCCGCAGGGAGGACCAAGATGCTCTTTAAAAGGATTTGGAGTCTGCTGTCGCGCAGAGATAATGGTGCAATTAGGGCTCCAAAGTTCTACATCACAGGGCAGGCTGTTGACATTTCACCTTACAGAAACGTTAAAGCACGCCACAGAATGCTCCCCTTGGCCATTAGAATTATTACTCAGGTACCCATTAGGTAATTGAACTTGGAGCAAATTAACTTCCTCATATAGCCCCGCCCAGGCAAATGATTTCCCATGTGTGTCCCTTGCTGAGTGAGGTGATGTGTGTAAAGTTGTTCTCCGTGGGTCAGTTACACATGATGACTTTGAACTAAAATGCTTGATTTGAGCCATTTTCTAAAGGGCCCCTTCTAGTTGATGGTCATGAACCATATTGTCCTCCTCTAGCATAATGCTTGACTTACTATTTTTATGTGTCAAAGATGATCAGTAAAAGCCACACTCTTTGATGTTACTGAATGGAGTTCTTCCCCAGACGATCAGGCGAGTGAGTAGTGTCAGCATAGGCTTGCCGTGTCTAAGGCCTGCCCACTTCTCAGGTGTCATTTGCCCTAGGAAGGATGGGTTTACAATCATCAAGCAGGAATCAGCAAATGGTTTAGGTGGAATACTTGAGAATAGGTCCATCTCTCTATAATTTGGAGCAGTAAAGAGTTCCCATTTTTAAAAGTGAGAACGATCTGCCCTGGCCCCAACCCCAGACTCAGGGCCACGCAGGTGCTGAAGCGCAGTGATTTACCAGTGATCCGTGCCAGTGCTTCACGGTTCTGGGGTCAAGGAACCTTCTGTATATGGAACCTTCATATATTTTTTAGCTCTTAATCAGTGTATGATAGGAGGTAACATTTTTGGGCTTTTGTCAAAATGTACAAAATTCTGGGGACTTAATCTTAGTTTGTGGAGGGGCACAGGAAATCTCCTATGTGGGATTCCATCTGCAGACGCTCTCTTCTTTTCTACCTTGGGAACTGACAGCATTTCCTTTTACCACCAAAAGCGCTAGCCAGGTCTGGGCCTCCCATGTAGATTTATGGCAGTGGAAATTTTGAGGCTTTAGGACATTTGTAAATAAGCTTTACTCTTACGAGCTCCTGATGGCCACTTCTACTTTGCCTAGTTTATCCAATATAAAAATGAAAGTTCGTGTAGGTTACTATTTTTTTGATATTAAACACTATCTTTCATAGAAATATAGGTAAAGGATCTGCTTGATGTATTCCAGAGGCCAGGTTTTGTTCATATATATATTTAGAGAGAAATTTTCACTTATTAGCACATAAGTTTTTGGAAGGATAACCATGTAGAAGAAAATCCTCCTGTTAGTAACTGATTCTAGGAGGAGTTCTGGCCCACAGGGATGATTAACTCCACGATGGGGTGCACAAAATCAGTAAAATAAGTTCTTAGCACTAGAACCAGCTGTATGAGCAGACAGTGTCCTCCTGGGAGGGGAGATAAATTGGGACTCATCAAATCCAACTTGCCGGGAAACTGATGGGAGACTTGAGGCAGGAATTCCCACCCTGAGCCAGGAGCTCCCAGTAGTCCTGCATTGACTTGGCTGAATTATTTTTTCTCCCAGCTAAGAGAGGAAAGGTGAAGAATTATGAATTGGAGACATGACTACTCTAGGCCTCATATGGTCATGTAATCCCTATGCCTGCCAGAAAGCTGTCATCTGAGCATCCTTTCAATGTTCATCTGCCTGTTCCAGGAACAGAAGCTTAGGCATGGAGGGAGAAACTTCTGGAAGTTGGTGGGACATTAATCCAGCTGCTGAGGTTACTGTGGTGACTGTGCTCCAGCCAGAATCTTGGCTCACAGGGAACAGCTGGATCTGACCTACCCAGCTGAGCTCAACAGGTCCTGCAGAGCCTATCTCATGGATTACCTGATCAGAGAGGGGAGGATGTCTGCAGGCTTTATGGGGACTTGAGTGGGGTTTAGTGGCTAGCTGGTCAATCAGAGGGGTCTCAAGGTCTTTACTCCGGAGAGCTGAGTCTGGCAATGGGGTAAGAGCCTGGGGCTCTAGCTTCGGAGGTTGACTGGGCTTTGGGAGTAGCCCATCATTAGCTGGTAGGCCCCAGGGGAGAAAGTTCCGCTCAAAGCTTCCTGCAAGAGGCCCAGCAGTAGGTCTGTATAAAGTCCATGGTGGTGGTCTTTAGGTCTCACCTCTGAAGCTGACATTGCCCTTCAAGGATTATACCTCACTGGAGGTCAGGGCGTTTTCTGGAATAGCTTTCTGACTCCCTGTTTTCCCTGGGAATCAAAGGCTGAGAGACATCCAGCTTCAGTCTTGGGTAATTTTGAGGTTCACATTTTTTTTTTTTCCCCGTAATGGTCTTGAAGGGATAGTGGGATTTATTTGTTTTTCTTTCTTCGCTTTCCTAGGTACAGGAAGAGGGCTGATGAGCCAAACATCCCTGCAGGTGACAACTTTTCTTTTATCCTTGAAACCCAATGTAGACTTTGCTGCTTTGTTTTTGTGGTTCAAACAAAGTGGATTAGAAATATTTCAGACATACAGTCATTTCTTACTTACCTAATAGATATGTTTGAATATGGTTCTATCAACCAGGATTAAGTTTGTTGCAATATAAGACAAGCCCAAAGCGGAGGTATGTAAGCAGCATGGAAATTTATTCTGTTCTCACCCAGAGAGACAAGCTTGGGGTAGGCTGACCCGGGCTGGTGGGACTGTCGTCTGGCCCGCAAAGGCCCCAGCTCCTTCTAGCTCTCTCGTGTTTAAGGGAACTGCACCTGCAGGTCAGGGTGTGGGTCTTGGAACCTGAGCAGCAGGAGAGAGCAAGGCGGTGAGGAAGGGCAGGCTTCCTCCCTTTAAGGAAACTCCCTTCCCTGCGTCCTTGGATATCGATTAGGTACACAGCCCTAGCCAGCTGCAAGGGAGGAGAGACCTGCTGGCCTTTCCCCGGCTGTGTGCTCTCTAAGTAGGATTCTGTTAGTGAGGAGGGGGAGAGAAGGCATGTTGGGATAGGCAGCTAGCAGTTTCTGCCACAACACATGTTACATGTCAGATCATGTTTTCAGTGTGCTAAGGGAGCTGCTGCTGTCTGTGAGGCAGCCATGGTGTGGCAGGTAGAAGCCAGAGTTGGGGAGGGCGAGGCCTCAGGCTTGGGCCGCAGTTGCCTTCAGCTGCCTGCCTTCAGCTGCCTGGGGGCCCTAGCACGAGACCTCTCATCCCCTTGGCTTCCGTTTCCTCACCTACAAAGTGAGGAAGTAAATGAGGATCTCCAAGGTTTCTTTTATTCTTCCAATGCTATTTTAAAGGATCTGTAATACACAATTTTATGTAAAGCTAGAAATTAATTTCTTCTTTTATTTAAAAATTGCCTTATTTTTAATTCTTTAATTTATTTAAAACGTTCACTCAGATGTGTACATATGTTTAGCCTAAGGAATAGTGTCTTTTTTTTTTTTAAGTAGATAAAAAGTAATTTTTTTTTTTTTGAGACATACAGTCTTGCTGTGTCGCCCAGGCTGGAATGCAGTGGCATGATCTCGGCTCCCTGCAACTTCCGTCTCCCCGGTTCAAGTGATTCTCTTGCGTCAGCTTCCTGAGTAGCTGAGATTACAGGCATGCACCACCACGCCCAGCTAATTTTTTTGTATTTTTAGTAGAGACAGGGTGTCACTGCCTTGGCTAGGCTGGTTTTGAACTCCTGACCTCATGTGATCTGCTCACCTTGGGATTACAAGCGTGAGCCACTGTGCCTGGCCCAAAAATAATTTTAATTGTTGAAAATGTTGTGTTAAAAATGAAAGTTTTAAAAATATTAAAAGAAAGTATAATTTTTTAAAAATGCAGGCGCAGTCAGCAAGGGAATTCGGGTTGTGTTTCCTAAACAGGTGAAAATCACAAATACAAGAAGTCCAATGTCTAAAGAATGGTATCTTTTATTGTTGTGATTCTGTTATGCTGTGTTAATGTTTTCATCATTTAAACATTTTAATTGTGGTAAAATATATGTAACATAAAACTTACTATCTTAACCATTTTGAAGTTCAGTAGTATAAAGTACATTTATATTGTTGTGCAATATTTTTATTTTTGGAGGAAGGCTGTAATTGGCTTTATTCTGTAGCAGAGTTTGTGGGTGAGAAATGTCATGTAGCAGTAACTGTAGGTAGTTTTTGTTTGGATCATGAAACAATTGTTTCACATATACATTCAAATGCAGTTGTTTTGTCAAAACTTTTTGAAAATTGAGACATATTTTACATATAGTGAAATGCACAGTGAAGTGTGCAGTTTGCATTTTGATGATAAAGAGATTTACCTGAGTATTTTCAAACCAGAAGATCGTGGGATGTTGGAATGGGAAGTAACTATAGTGATCATCCGGCTTAATCTTGCTTTACAGATGAGGAAACCAGAAATTGATCCCAGAAGATTTTTTGGCTGAGATTTTTTTGTTTTGAGACTGAGCCTTGCTCTGTCGCCCAGGCTAAAGTGCAGTGGCGCGATCTCGGCTCACTGCAACCTCTGCCTCCTGGGTTCAAGCAATTCTCCTGCCTCAGCCTCCCGAGTAGCTGGGAATACAGGTGCCCACTGCCACACCCAGCTATTTTTTGTGGTTTTAGTAGAGATGGGGTTTCACCACGTTAGCCAGGTTGATCTTGAACTCCTGACCTCAGATGACCCACCCGCCTTGGCCTCCCAAAGTGCTGGGATTACAGGCATGAGTCACTGTGCCTGGCCTTGGCTGAGATTTTTAACCAACTTAGATGCCAGTTAAAATTAAAGGAGAATCTTATATCTAGCTTCTTAGTGCTATGTTTTATTTAAACTGTTTTCTATTACTTTACATCTAATTGTTCTTTCTGTGGTTCTATCTCAGGAGACACTGAAAATGATACTTTTGCAAGTGGTAGAATTCGATCCTTACTGTGTTGGGCAGGCTGATAGGCATGGGTTATGTAGAGAGCAGATCATCGCCTGGCCACTTGGATTTCACTGGATACCATTTTTTTGGGGTAGCTTCTGTTTGTTTCCTGTTGGTAGCACTATTTCCTGGCATAAGGAAGTGAACAAACAGTATAATTTGAATTGTTAAAGTGTTTCTACCACTCTGTTCGGTGCGGGATTGACCGCTTGTGGGCGTCAGTCACATAATGAACCTTTAATGTTTGTTGGGGTTGTGGGACCTGGCATTGGAGCAGCCTCGTGTGCAGGCTGACTTTCGGAGTTGGGAGCCCCTCCATTGGTGGGCTCATTGGTGGCTTTTGGTTGAGTTAGAGTGGGTTCTTGGTAGGTGATGTGGGATCAAAGACTTGATAAGACTCATACTCATGGGTCCTTCCCAAAGCACAGGCGTCCTCAACTCTACTTTCCTTTTGACCAGGAGGGACAGATGATTATTTCATTGCCGGAGAGTTGCCTGCTCACCACTGACACGGTGATTCGAAGCTACTTAGGGGCGTACATTACTAAGTAAGTGACCACATGCATGCTTACCTGCTGTGAGTGCTTCTCCTTAAAGTCTGTCACTGGGAAATATGTCATTTGAAATGGAATTCATTAGGACCCAGTCCCTTGTAAAGCTGATAAATACCTGAAATGATTTGAAAAGTTTACGCTGTTCTAGAAAGTTTCTTCTTAATTCACTGTAAACCATATTTTTAAGGTTTTCGATAGGCTTCCTGGGGTGTGGGTATGAATCCTGATCCATCACTTACTAAGAAATAAAGATTAAATGGGATAACATATGTAAGTCACAGCTGAGTGCCTCGGCTCTCAGTAGCCTGTTTTCTTCCATCATAGTAGCTCTTGACAAATTTAAGTTACTCTCTCTTATTTCTACCCTTATTGTACTTCAGTTTTTTTTTTTTTTTTTTTGAGACAGAGTTTCACTCTTATTACCCAGGCTGGAGTGCAGTGGCGTGATTTCAGCTCACTGCAACCTCTGCCTCCTGGGTTCAAGCAATTCTCTTGCCTTAGCCTCCCGAGTAGCTGGTACTACAGGCTTGCACCACCATGCCCAGCTAATGTTTGTATTTTTAGTATAGACGGGGTTTTACCATGTTGACCAGGATGGTGTCGATCTCTTGACCTCGTGATCCACCCACCTCGGCCTCCCAAAGTGCTGGGATTATAGGTGTGAGCCACCGCGCCCAGCCTGTTTTTCTTTAACTCTGAAGAACTGTTGACATGATGAAAAAATTAGTTTTATTTAGGTATAGAAGAGAGGAGGCTGATGTGGGAGATGTCTTCTCGTTCTGCTGGGCCTTTGTTTGGGGCATTTTGAGGACAGAGTGAGAGAGGCCCTCAGTGGAAGGGATTTCTAAATTATGAGGGTTGAAAGAGGATACCGTTCCTTTCTTTCTTTTTCTGTCTTTTTTTTTTTGAGACAGGGTCTTACCCTGTCACCCAGACTGGAGTGCAGTGGCGTGATCTTGGCTCCCTGCAACTTCCACCTCTCAGGTTCAAGTAATTCTCACGCCTTAGCCTCCTGAGTAGCTGTGATTACGGGCATGCTCCACCAAACCTAATTTTTGCATTTTTAGTAGAGACAGGGTTTTATTTACCCTGTTGACCAGGCTGGTCTCAAACTCCTGGCCCCAAGTGATCTGCCTGCCTTAGCCTCACAAAGTGCTGAGATGTAGGCGAAGAGCCTCTGTGCCTGGCCTCTACTGTTCCTTAACTGTTAGGTAAGTTCTTTTCTGCCTGGCATGTTTTTGCAAGAAGGTGAATAGGTCTTTAGGCCTGTGTCAGGCAAGGATGCTGTCATAATAACACTTTCTGAATCATTCTGACATTTCGAGTAGACTGTATGGCAGTATAGGAATCTGGACATCGAAGGATTGATGAAAATGTTTTCTAAATACATTTAGGCAACATGATATCTTTTTATTGGCATTATGCAAAACAAAAATACTGTGATATATAACTTGTAATAGAGCAGGTAAAGTTAGGAATGAAAGCTTTAGAACTGCAGCGAGTGTATATGAGCATATTTGGGTTTGGTCTAGGTTAGTGCCATCCAATAGAACTTTCAGCAGTGACAGAGATGTTTTTTCTGCATCGTCCAGTATGGTAGCCACTAGCTCCGAATGGCTGTTGCACACTTAAAACATGGCTTATCTCACTGAGGGGCTGAATTTTAAATATTATTTAATTCTAAAGAATTTAAATTAGTTCTGTGTACAGAGGTGCAGGTCTCAGTTCTTCCCATGATATTATATCTTTATTCAGGTGAGAGCAGTGGACTTAGGTCAGAAGCTTTACAACTGGAGAACCAAGTTGGAAGCAAAGAGGTTTTTTTGCAAAGGGAAATTTCTTGCAACAAACCTGGAACTTGGCTTAGTGAGTCAGTTTTTCTGATGGGTAAATACGGCTCTTTCAGAGTGCTAGCATTGGGGCTGTGCTTCCCCAGAGAGGAAGAGCCTTAAGGAAGGAAGGAACTCTTTTGAGTCTGTTAAGTAAACTGAGTGTGTTGACAGTGTGAACACATTCCCTTTGGCAGCAAAACCAACTGCATAGCTTATTTTGTGCTATGAATCAAAGTACCTCCTTTAAACCGGCTTTTAATTTTCAAAGGTGGAAGCCGCCTCCATCTCCCCTGCTGGCTCTGTGCACCTTTTTAGTTTCAGAAAAGCATGCTGGGGACCGATCTCTTTGGAAGCCTTACCTGGAGATTTTACCCAAGGCCTATACCTGCCCTGTTTGTTTGGAGCCGGAAGTGGTGAACCTTCTTCCCAAATCTTTAAAAGCAAAGGCTGAAGAGCAGAGAGCCCATGTACAGGAGTTCTTTGCTTCCTCCAGAGACTTTTTCTCTTCTCTGCAGCCTCTGTTTGCGGAGGCTGTTGACAGCATCTTCAGCTACAGTGCCCTACTCTGGGCTTGGTGCACTGTCAACACCAGAGCCGTGTACCTGAGGCCCAGGCAGCGGGAATGCCTTTCTGCAGAGCCGGACACCTGTGCACTCGCTCCGTACCTGGACCTGCTGAATCATAGCCCACATGTCCAGGTGAGAAGCTGACAAGGGAGCAGCTGTTCTATTTGGATAGGAAGGCTTCCACCGCCTAGAACCTGTCACTGCAGATGATGGGTGACACCACAGGAAGAGGTAGTGGCAGCTTCAGGTGACTGGGCTGGGTTGGCCTGCTGTCAGGAATGCTCCAGTTGTTCTTCCAGACCCCACTGTTCCTACAGTGCTTTCCCTGCCCATTTCTCCACTCTGCTCTTAAGGCCTCCAGAGCCCTGGGCTGCGCCCCTGTCCGGTCTTTCCCAGCAGGCGGTGGGAAATTCCTTCTTCATTCTCCCTTGTTCCTCCTTCCAGACTGAGACTGAAGCCCAGCTTGCTTTCCTGCCCTGTCCCTTTTAAACTAGGTGGCATAGCTGTCACAGCTTTTATCTTTGATTTGATCGCTGACTGACTTGTTCTTTTTCCCAATGAGCTCTGAAATCTTTGAGAATGGGGTCTTTGTCTTGTTCCTCTTTGTTACCTCAGTGCTCGTGGCAGGGCCTGGCACATAGCAGGTGTTAAGTAAATCTTTATTGAATGGATGGGTATTTGTGGGAAAAGGGTTCTGGGAAATAATCGATCACTTCCTCCCCTGCCTTTTTCCTGGGTGGCTCTTCTGGGAAATGAGCGTATTTGCAGGGCATGCGGGGGTAGGGGCCTAGCTTGGAGAGCAGAGAAGAGTCCATCAGTCAGCTCACCTGTAACCGATTTGGAGTGTGCTGTGGAGGGGCATGTCTGGGATCTGTGTCCTGGCTGTCGCCTTCACGTGACATTCCACTATGAGAAGAGCAATGATGGCCTTGTGAGCCCAGGTGCCAGCTCACGTGCTCTCCATGTGAGAGCAGAGCTTAGGGAGGTTCCTGCTCTGCTTTCTTAGCCCAGGAACAAGCTCTGGGCCTGTCTGCTTGTTACTTTTGTAGAAAGAAGTGTCTCTAACAATCAGAGCAAAGGAGGCTGGGATTAGATGAGTGTTTCTGTGGTTGATGTTGATGAAATAATATCAGGGGCATGTAGAGCAATAGGATGCTAGACATGGGGAGTCCTTAGTCCCCAGCACAGTGACTTTATTTTTGATGGGGCCTTTGTACATTTATGTGCCAAACCAATAATTTGATAGTCTACTGTAATAAGAGCATGCCACAGACTACAGCCTGCGGACATGCGGCCCGAGAGCCCTGAGCCAAGAGTGGTTTTTATAGTTTTAAAGGATGTAAAAATACAACAACTTCCACGGAGACTACTAGGGCTGGCAAAGCTGAACCTATTTACTCTCTAGCTTTTCACAGATCACGTTTATTGGCACCACCATGTCCTCTTTCCCCGGATCTGAGTGGATGTGGCCAGTAAACTGCTGGCAATCTCATCTGTGCTGTGTCGGGCATCGGGTGTGGCCATCCTTGGGTGGGACTCCCTTCCTCACCAGTGGGGTGAAGTCGGGCTGGGTGAAACTGAAGTGGCATCTTCCCTAGGCGAAGTTACATTTATTGATGAGTGTTTGAAAACTGCACCTGACTCACATTAATATTATGCAATAACTTAATCCGCTTTGTAGTTTCACACCTTACTTTAGAAAAACCTTTAACAATTTTCCTCTGTAGGTAAAAGCAGCATTTAATGAAGAAACTCACTGTTACGAAATTAGAACGACTTCGCGTTGGAGAAAACATGAAGAGGTGTTCATCTGTTACGGCCCTCACGATAATCAACGGTTGTTCCTAGAATATGGATTTGTTTCTGCACACAATCCTCATGCTTGCGTTTATGTCTCAAGAGGTTGGAATCAACTTTGTTTTTGACATTAACACTATATATTTTTCTCCCCATTTGGAGATGTCTTTATTTTCAGTTTTCATAAAATATCAAAACCTTAAGGCTGACATAGACATCACTAATTTTCCTCTAGGTAGGCCTAGCCTCTTACTAACTGTAGTTTCAGTACTGAAGTAAAAACAACAAAGCTTTGATTGATATTTAGGATAAGAAGAATTGAGAAATTTTCATTGCATTGGGTCAGAAGATAGAATGGAAGAAAAGGAAAACTGCTAAGGACCGAAATACAATATGAAAGGGTGGAAATGTACTGAAACATTGTCACTGTCGCTGAAGACAGAATAGGACTAGGGAGCAATAAATAAAGAATATTTATTAAACACCTACTGTGGGTAAGACACTGTGCTAATCACAGTGGTAACTCGATTACATAGTCCTTGTTTCTGGAGGTTGATGCCGTGATGAGATTTGATTTCATGTATGTTCTTTTGTGATCCTTAACTAGTCACCATCATTGGTTTTATTATTTTTGAGTCAGAGTCTCACTCTGTTGCCCAGGCTGGAGTGCAGTGGCGTGATCCTGGCTCACCGCAACCTCCGCCTCCCAGGTTCAGGCGATTCTTGTACCTTAGCCTCCTGAGTAGCTGGGATTACTACTAATTAGGCACACACCACCACGCCTGGCTAGTTTTTGAATTTTTAGTAGAGATGGGGTTTTGCCATGTTGGCCAGGCTAGTCTTGAACTCCTGGCCTCAAGCGATCTACCTGCCTTAGTCTCCCAAAGTGCTAGGATTATATGAGTGAGCCACTGCACCTATCCTGGTTTTATTATTATTATTTTTAAGTTTTGTTTTTTCATATGATAGAGACAATGTCTTGTTATGTTGCCCAAGCTGGTCTTGAACTCCTGGGCTCAAGAAATCCTCCTGCTTTGGCCTCCCAACGTGTTGGTATTACAGGCAGGAGCCACACTGGTTGGCCCGGTTTTATTATTTTAAAATAGTAAGTTGACCATTCAACTTATGGTGTGAAAATTCCAAATATAGTGTTAAAAAAGTACTTAGAAGACTGATTTTTTTCCCCCTTTCTGAAACAACGAAGCAGTTTTCTAGGCCATGAGAAAATGGCAAGGGATTTGTTATATATATAAAATTTGAAGCATTTTTAATATCGGTTTGATTGGAAATAGAAACTTGGTCAAGCTGATACCGCTCCATCTCATAGGCAGAATAATAATGTGATTTCTTAAAAAAAAAAAAAAATAGAAAAACAAAAACGGGGTCTTGCTGCTAGAAAACCAGCTTTGAGATTGGCCTCATGTTTTCAAAGTCCTGTTAAATTTAATATTGGTGTCCATGGAATATTCATTTGTTGAATAAATTAATTTGAGAAAAAATTATATTTAGTTATTTTTACATTTTTAAAAATAAAATAGAAAAATCCTTCAGTGCCCTGTTTCTCCAAATAGCCTAATTTGTGCATATTTACTTTAAGCTTTTTGTAGTTGCAGTCACTAATGTCCAGACTGCTGTGATTCTGGTTTTGAAAAAGCTCAATATTGTAAAGCTTTCCTCATGTTTTGCAGGGTCTCTAGGTCTCTACTTTTGCTGGTTGTAATTTTCCAGCAGTCATGCTGATGTCATATGACCTGATTGTTTTTGGTGGACTTGCTTAGGGGGAGCACGAGCTGAGGTGGTGTGTGCTTAGTCCTCCAGCCTCGGAATTCTTACAGCTTTTCAGGGACTCAGTAGTGATACGACGGAATTGGACTTGAAGAGTAGACTTCTTTTGTGTGAATTAGGTTGAACTGTTTATGCATGTCTGGATTGTGAATTAGGTAGAACTGTTTATGTGTCTGGATTGCTAAGGGGAAAGGAAGTGAATTGAAGGGAAGTGAAGGGAAGGGAGACATACTTTTGTCCAAATTTACGCCCTAATTCTCAGTCTGTTTTTTCTTTTTTAAATTTAGAAATACTTGTTAAATATCTTCCATCAACAGATAAACAGATGGACAAAAAGATTTCCATCTTAAAGGATCATGGCTATATAGAGTAAGTGTTTCTCTTTCCCTCTCAAAATTATTCCTTTAGGAAATTTTTATGGAAAATCTGGGGTTAAGGTTTCCATAGGGATGAGACACCTCCTGACCCTGTATCAGATGATGAGTAGGTATTGAGCACTTACTGTGTGTAGTAAAACTGTGTTTGATGTTGTAGAGGACATAAGGAGTGTAAGACACTTGAAAGAAACTTATTTAGGGACATAAGGTACAAGCTGGAAATATTAAATTATGGTACCAAAAGAGAACTTGGATGTGTTGATGGGTGGCCCAGGGTGAGTCTGTCTATGCTGTGGTCACGTGGGAAGGCCAGGCAGGCCCTCAAGAGAGCCCAGGCACCTAGCAACATGATGCAGGCTCTTGGAGTAGGTGGGTAGCTGGGTGATTCCATGCCTAGTGGGTTAAACAGGGTTCAAGGCTCTCCCTTTTGGATTTTCTTTTCTGAATGAAATTAAGTTTTAAAAGACCCAGCCATGGTATGAGAGCAGCCTAGTGGTGGTGGCTGCCATCTGTGTGATGCCCAGAGTACTTCCAGTTCTTCAGCGTTTCTCTCACTGGGAACTCCTGCGCATGTGCCCTGCCTGAGGCCCCTCATCCACGTTCAAGCTTCTTACTGTAATTCTTGGAAAAGAGCCATTTACTCTTCAACAAAAATGGAGAGAATTTTCTGTTACTTAAGCTTTCTTCTTAAGTATTTGCAGACTGATTTTCTCTTGTCCTTTGACCAAGATTGCAGGTTACATGACATTTAGCAGCCCCTTTAAAAAGGCGTTTGGCTCTTCAGCCAGTTGCCGTGAGGTCATGAAATACTGAAATGACAGATTTGTCATTATTTGTTTTTCTACTTCAGAAATTTGACATTCGGATGGGATGGACCATCTTGGAGGTTACTCACAGCCCTTAAGTTGTTAAGTCTGGAAGCTGAAAAATTGTAAGTTTCACATGTATTGGTCTTAAGCTGTAGCACCAGTCTAGCTATAACTTTGGAGGGTTGGTTTGTTTTTGGCTTGCATTCGGATAGCCAGGGAGGAGAAAGGAATGCCATGCATTGGAGTGGCTTTTTCGTTATGTAAAGTGGCTTTTTCGTTGTCCCTGTAGTGAGTGTTTCATTTCTAAGTTTTAACCATTTTGGAATTCTGGTTTAGAATCAGAGTACATGGTTCTGAGAATTTTTCGGTTTCTACTCATATTTTCCTCCTGGTGACCTGCAATCCTTTAAAAAGTGTGGGTTTTGGCACTGTTCAGAGGAAAGTCTCAGAGTAGGTAGGAGCAAGAGCTCCTAACAACAGTCCGTCCCTGGGGCAGATCCCAAAGCCCCGCTGAAGGAGAGGCCTGGACTTTTCCATGGGGAGGTGAGTCGGGGAGCCCCCAGTGTGGGCATGCATCCTGGCCAGGGTCCCTCATGTTCCTGCCTGGCTGTCAGTCCTGCTTCCCGCAGCCACCTGTCGGCACATCCAGCTGTGCGGGACCCAGGGCAGGGGCAGCTTCAGCCAGAGCCTCTGGAAGGGAGAGCTGCTTACAGCCTTCTGCTGCTAGATACACAGGGAGAACTTCTTGAAGATGGTGCAGCCTGTACTTGAGCGGTTGGGAGGACTGGCTGAGATGAGGCCCAGAAGCAGCCCTTAGCTCAGTGCCTGGAGCAGTTGGTGCTCCTGCAGTGATGCCTGCTCTTCTGGATGAGCTGATGTTGCTTCCTTCTTTTTCTCTAGGAACTTTTGGAGGAAAATTTCTCCCTCATCTCAACACCATAGTTTTTGTTTTTATTCTTAGCAAATGGAGTGTTTTTATCTTACAGATCCTGTGATTTCTTTAACTGATGTTTCCCTCTTTTTATTGTTCGCTGGAAAACTGAGAGGCAAATCTGAAGTCCATCCAAATGTACTGAACCTGAAGGCGTGTGGTTTCTCACTGACCCGTTCCTGCTGTGTCTTGGCTTTTCTCCGTTCATCTTCCTTTGTTTTGATTTCCGCCATTATTTATCTTACCTTTTATTTTGTGTGTACTCATGTAAGCTTCTTTAAATACTTCTGGCGATAAGGTATGAGTCCCTTTCAGACGCTTCAGCCTAAAATTAAATACAACAGCTGGTGGTTTCCCAGAGGTCTTCCTTAGGCCTCCTTTCTTCCGTTTGAGTTACTTGAGTTACTGCTGACTGAGTGGGGTGGCAGAAAAAGCATGTTTAGGCCTCTGCCTGATACATACATATCTGCAGTTTTTTTCTCTCTCATTGGCTCTGTCACTTAGGGTGAGTTCTCCAACTTTCCTGATTCTATTTCTTTGAGTCTAATGTGGGGATAATTGTGCTTTCTTTGCTTGGTAATTGTGGAGAGTAAATTAGATAATGGTTATTCACGAACACTGTGCCTGACACTCAGTACTTTCCTTTTTTTCTTTTCTGAGACCTCATCGATTTCCTGAGCTTTTCACCTGTCATCTCTAGAACTGAAGACTTCTGAGTCTATTCCTTGCTGTGTCTTGCCAGCAGTTCTGGCTTCTAATGGGCTCCTGTTGACTTCCACAGCAGCCATCGTTCCTTCCTGTTGAAGCCACTTCCACTGCCAGATTCTCAGTGTTCAGAATCCGGCCCTCCATCCTCTTTCTCCCAGTGGTTCTCATTCCTGGTGTCTGGATCTGGTGCTGCCACCTCTGCCCCGCATCCTGCTGTGGCTCCCTTGCACCTGCCACAACAGACCCACCAGAGTGGGTCCTGCCTGCCAGCTGAGCCCCATTTCCTGGAGCCTTTGTAGTAGAGCATTGGAATGACCTGCACAGAGAGAGGGCTTGGCCGTGGATTCCTTCCAGACACAGAGCGTTTGGCTTTGTGAACTGTGTCCCGTTTGCTACTGTTTTGGACAGACTGTCACTCGAAGAGAAGGAATACTCCCCCTTTGCTCCTTAGTCCTCTGCCTCTTGGCTGTGGACCCCTTTCCTGTTCTGTCTCTTGCTTCCTTCCCATAGCCAGGGACGGGACTTCATTCATTCATGTGTCAGACACAGGTTTGTGATGATGATAACATTCAGTTCTTGCCTGCAGAACGCACCCACCTGCTGTGCTTTTTATTCTCAGCTCCTCCTCCTCCTTTCCTACTACCTGGTTGGCTTCCACACAGGGACTGCAAGTGACATGGGTCCTTGTGGAATCTGCTTATGGAATGAGTTGTATTTATGCTTCTGGAGAAATAGAAGGAGTTTATTTGTTGCATTGAAATGTAAAAGTCTATTTTTCCAGAGTCTGCTAAAATTGTGTCGTGGAACATTTTTGGTTCTAGTACATGCTGGAGAAAAGTACTTCTTGGGGAAGTAATTTCAGATACGAACGAGAAGACAAGTTTGGATATAGCCCAGAAAATATGCTATTATTTCATCGAAGAGACTACTGCTATGCTTCAAAAGGTATGTTTCTAGAATATTACATCCTTAAGAAATGTCTTGATTAAGCAGTTCCTTGTTCTGTACATGCTAGTGGGGATAGTGCATTTGATAAGAGCATTGTTCAGTGCCTTCAATAAATAAATGTTGATGTAATCTCTATTTTTGACTGTTAACTTTGGACGTATGCTTTTTCTCTCAATTTTTTCTTTCTTTCTTTCTTTTTCCTTTTTCTTTGAGACAAGAGTCTTGTTCTGTCTCCCAGGCTGGAGTGTAATGGCGTGATCTCGGCTCACTGCAACCTCTGCCTCCTGGGTTCAAGTGATTCTCCTGCCTCAGCCTCCCAAGTAGCTGAGATTACAGGCGCCTGCCACCACACCTGGGTCATTTTTATATTTTTAGTAGAGATGGGGTTTTACCACGTTGGCCAGGCTACTCTCAAACTCCTGACCTCAGGTGATTTGCCCACCTCAGCCTCCCAAGTGTTGGGATTACAGGCATGAGCCATGGCACCTGGCCTCTTTATTATTAATTGGTCAGTAAAAATTCTATATATTTGTATACATTGTGGATGGCTAAATCAAACTATTTAATATATCATGATCACATATACTTATTTTTTTTTTTGTGGTGGGAACACTTAAAATCTCTTAGCCATTTTCAGGTACATAATATATTGTTTCTAACTGTAGTTACCATGACGTACAATAGATCTCTTGAATTATTCCTCTGGTCCAGCTGAAATTTTATGTTTTTTGATCAACATCTCCCCATTTCCCCTCCAACTCCTCAGCCTTGGCGACCACAATTTTGCTCTCTGCTTCTATGAGTTTGACAGTTTTAGATTCCACATATAGTGAGATCATGGAGTATTTGTCTTTCTGTGCTGGCTTATTGCCATGTGACAACATGTCCTCTGGGTTCATCTGTGTTGTCACACATGACAAAATTTCCTGCTTTTATAAGGCTGAATGTACTTCACTGTGTGTATGTGCCGCGTTTTCTTCTTTATTCGTCTGTTGATGAATACTTAGGTGGATTCCATATCTTTGCCTATACCTTTTATTCAAAGGTAGAAAGTAAAAAAGGTAAAAAGTAAAAAGGACTGCATGACTTCAAGCACCTTTTTCTTATTGATGTTTTATGTAGTAAATGTTTTAGTTAAATGAGAAATCAGCTCTTTTGTATGAAAACATGACTGGGATTTTAAGCGTGATTTTAATGAACCTTGAAAACATTGTGCTAAATGGAATCAGCCAGACACAAAAGGACCAATACTGTGTGATTCCACTTATCTGAGGGTCCTAGAACAGGCAAGCTCATAGAGACAGTTCAAGTTTAAAGAGCAGAATGGGGTTATTGATGATGGTCATAGAGTTTCTGTTCGGGGTGATAGAAGAAGTTCTGGAGCTGGAGAGTGGTGATGGTTCTGTAACAGTGCAAATGTACTTCATGCCGCTGAGCTGCACACTTGAAATCAGGTCAAAGGTGCATTCTATGATATATCCATGCTTTACCTCAGCAAAAATAATACATCACTTTCAGGTGTCTCGTATGAAGGATGAAAAAGAGGCTCTGATAAACCAGCTAACTCTGGTGGAATCCCTGTGGACGGAAGAGCTCAAGATTCTCAGGGCATCTGCCGAGACCCTGCGTACTTTGCAAACAGCTTTTCCCTGACTTCACCGAAGCGTGTTTAGTCACCTCCTCTGGTGGGTGTGACTTACACATTTTAGACTAAGGTTTGATGGACTAAATTTCCATAGTTTAGAGTTGATGAGTGGCTTCTACTCAGCAGTTAGGAACTTAGTCCTTTTCCTTTTGCTTTTCCACAGAAACAGAAGTTAATTTGAAGACAGCCATCATGGGCTGGGGCGGTGGCCGCCCCCAGGACATGCAGGAGTCTGCAGGGGCAGCACAGGCTCTGGGATTGTGGGGCTGTGAGTGCAGGTGGACCAGCTGTCTGCATGGTACCTCTAATGCTCTTCAGAAGGAAGTGCTGAGCTGTGAGGAGAGAGGCGGACTGCGAGCGAGCCAGGAGCCAGCCGCACTCCATGTGTGTGGTCTGTCACCGCAGGGCCTGCTTCTTATCTGGCACAGCAGCCATCGGAGTCAAGCGGTCCTGCTTTTAAGATGCTTTGATACCATTGGGTTAAGGGGCAGGTTGGCGGGGGGTGGCTTTGGGCTGTGCGGATGGGGCAGTGGGAGGCGGTTCTGGGTCCCTGACAGGGTGGCCCAGCTGCCAGCCCTTCCCTGTGTGGACACACTGGTAGGTGTTGAAGAGCCCTCCAAGGGGACACAGGGATTCCAGGAGGAGGGAGTTTCCCCCAAACATGCTCCTGGACTTTCAAATGCCCAAGCCGGGGCTTGTCTAATTATTAACTTGGGAAGAATGGCCGGCTCAGCCCTTGGCTCTTTCTGCTTTGTTCTGCCGTCTTCCCTGGGCAGGCCTCTCCACCGCGGGAGCTGGCCCGCCCTCACAGCTGGGCCTTGGTGGGCCTGTCTGCTTGATTCTGGGCTTCAGTGTACATCAGCTGATGGCAGACCATGGTGGTGGTTTGGCCTCTGTTCTTATTCTTTGAGTTTTGAGCCCACTCAGATCCGGGGTGGGGAGGAGGGGACGCTTCCTGCACAGCTCTCGGGGAACTTCTGAGGGTGCCACCCCCGTAACCGTGGGGCTGCTTGTTCTGTTCAGGCCCGTTCCGGGGTCGCTGCCTAGACACTGTTGCCCAGAGTCCTGTTTGCCCTCCCAGGGGTCCGTCCTTCCCAAGAACTCAAATTCCTTTCTCACTGGAGCCCAGCGAAACCAAGCGAGCGGGGCCTGCTGGCCTCAGAAGGCAGCAGAGTTTACAATGAGACATTCTCATGATTTCTTGAACCCCTTTCCCTACTCGTACATACAGTTTATTTTATTTGGTAGTTGCAGGTCCCTTCCTTTCTTTTCTTCACTATTCAGTATCATGCAGTGTATTTCAGAATGTGCCGTATGGAGAGTGGGCAGACTCTTCTGTAGAGGGCCACAGAGTGGCCATTTAAAGCTTCCTGGACCGTGGTCTTGGTCCAGCGATTCTGCGGAGCAGCTGTCAGCAGCATGGCAACCACTGCAAGGCTGGCTCTGGGAAGCTCTCCAGCGACAGGTGCGGGCCGTAGTCTCCTGACCCCTGTGCTGTGCTGGAATTTCTTTCTCCTGTTCCCTATTAGTGGACCTAAATATGTTAATTCCTTTACCGCTTTCAAGATGGACACCCTCTTGAACATTAAAAACCTTGCAGACACTACATCAGGCGTCCCCAAACTTTTTACACAGGGGGCCAGTTCACTGTCCCTCAGATGGTTGGAGGGCCGCCACATACTGTGCTCCTCTCACTGACCACCAATGAGAGAGGTGCCCCTTCCTGAAGTGTGGCGGGGGGCCGCAGTTTGGGGACGCCTGCCCTACATGGTCACGGTGCTTTCGTTGTTCAGGGATTAGAACAAATGCGCAATGCGTGGGTGCGGTGCTCACACCTGTCATCACTTTACGGGAGGCTGAGGTGGGAGGATCTCTTGAGCCCAGGAGTTCAAGATCAGCTTGGGTGACATAATGAGCGCCCTGCCCCCATTCCCACAAAACAGTTGAAAAAAATCAGCTGTGCGGGGTGGCCCGTGCCTGTGCACAGGCCACCGCTACTCGGAAGGGTGAGGCGGGAGGATGGCTTGAGCCCAGGAGTTTGAGGTTGCAGTGAGCCAGGATCACACCACTGCACTCCAGCCTGGATAACAACTGAGTGAGACCCTATCTCTAAAAATAATAAGAAAAATTAAAAAATATGCAGGGACAAAAAGCAACTACCCAGAAACATTTACAACTGAGTAACACTACATCAGGCACAGCAGATCTCCATTTATTTGAAGAATAGTTGTATAAGACCATCTGTTTGTAGACAGTGCTTGTTAGGTGAAATCATGGACCCCTTGCAAAAAACCTGTGGTCCCTTGTGGGTCAGTCTGTGGCCCACAGGGTGAAGCCACTGTTCACAGTCCGTACACTTCCCTGTTGGCTGTTTAGTTTTGGACTCAGGCTCCAGGGGCAGGCTGTTCTTGTAAAATCATTCTGAGGGTAGCAAACCCATCTGTCCCCACGTAGACAGCCTGCAGTGCTGTTTAACCAAGGGCACTGTTTCCTCCCTTATGCTAATCACCACGGACTCCCCCTGCCCACCTTTCTAGGTTTTCTCTAGTAGTGCTTAGGGTGTGCCTGAGGCTCCTGAGGGCTCCACCCCTGTTGGGGTCTGGTTCTGAGTTTGGGTGGTAAACCTCCACCTGCTGACTTGGCCCGAGGGACGGACACCTAGAAGTTGAGGTGATTGGAGGCATTCCTCTGTCCTCTTTCCAGCTGAGAAGAGAATAGGCCCTCCTCTGTGAGAGTGTTAAGTTTGGAGGCTGGCAGTCAGGTTTGAGGAAATGGTCTGTAATTCTGTGAAATTGGCTTTCTTACTGAAGCACCTGGCACGAGGGCCCTCGGGGTCTAGCAGAGGCTGTGGATCCCGGCTCCTCCTCGGTGATGCCTGCTGTGCCCCTTATGGTAGGTAAGTGCTTAAATGCTGGGCGGCAGGTTTTGTCCTGAGGGGCAACGTGTAACAGAACCCATGTTGACTTGTGGGCTGAAAACGTGAACAGAGCCTCATCAGGAACGCCACCTGTGGGATCCCTTGGAAAACTGCTTTCTCCCACAGTCCAGAAAGTCACATGGGAACTAAAGGGAACACAATAGAGGAAGGAAGGAGCAGGTAGAATGTGCCTCTCCAGCCCGGCCAGTGTATCCATACATCAGCGCCCCCCACAATAGGACAGTGCCCCCCACACCAGTGCCCCCCCACATGCCAGGGTCCCCACACAACACGCCAGTGTCCCCACACACATGCCAGTGTCCCCACGCGTCATTTTCCCTCCACATGCACCAGTGTCCCCACACAACATGCCAGTGTCCCCACACATAACATGCCAGTGTCCCCCATATGCCAGTGTCTCCCCCCCACAACATGCCAGCGTCCCCACACATGCCATCGTCACCCGACACATGCCAATGTCCCCACACAACATGCCATTGTCCCCCCCACACATGCCAGTGTCCACACATCAGTGTCCCCAGGCAACATGCCAGGTGTCCCCACACACGCTAGTTCCCCCAAACATGCCAGTGGCCCCCAGACATGCTAGAGTACGCCCAGCAACATGCCAGTGCCCGCCCCTGCCAACAGCCATTCCTGTCCCGTGCTCAGCCCTCTCACCTTTCAGAGGGCATTCCTCCATCTTTATTGTCCTGTTGTAACCTTTCACTTTTTTCTTGTTTTAATATCCTTTTATTCCATGTAGTTTTAACATTAGGCTATAAAAAAATTAAAAAACAACAACTCCCCAGTTGGGCGTGGTGGCTCACTCCTGTAATGCCAGCACTTTGAGAGGCCAGGGCAGGCAAATCACGAGGTCAGGAGTTTGAGACCAGCCTGGCCAACATGGTGAAACCCTGTTGGCGCCTGCCACCATGTCCAGCTTATTTTTGTATATAAAAATAAAATAGCAAAATTAAGGAGAAAAAAATTTTTATTTTTATATATAAAAATAAGCTGGATGTGGTGGCAGGTGTCTGTAATCCCAGCTACTTGGGAGGCTGAGGCAGGAGAATTGCTTGAATTGGGAGGCAGAGGTTGCAGTGAGCTGAGATTGTGCCACTGCACTTCATTCTGAGTGACAGAGTGAGACTCTGTCTCAACCAAACCAAACAGAACTTGGGTGATAGAGTGAGACTCCGCCTCAAACAAACCAAACCAGCCAAAAACCTCCCTAAAATATAACTTACTTAATAAACATGTAAGGTTACTACGCCACACCTTGATAGCTGTAATCCACAAGGCAGATAGTAGCAGGTGCTGTTACTATCCAAGGTGGGAGGATCACGTGAGGCCTGAAGTTTGAGACCAGCCTGGGCAACATAGTGAGACCCCCGTCTCTACAAAAAAAAAAAAAAAAAAAAGTAGCTGGGCATGGTGCTGCATGCCTGTAGTCCTAGGTACTCTGGAGGCTGAGGCAGGAGGATCGAATGAGTTCAGGAGTTCCAGGCTGCGGTGAGCTATGATCGCACAGCTGCACTCCAGCCTGGATGACAAATCTGTAGACTCCTAATTAAGGCAAAGGAGTCAGGCTGGTGGGCCTGAGGGAGATACAGAGATAAAGCAGGTAAGTTATCGGCTTGCCTTTCTTCATGGTCCAGGACACGTAGCCCTTCTGTGCAGAGAACGTACATTACCCACAATCCTCCTGCACCCAATTTCACATCAGACACTTCAGGTTATCATCAGACGCCTTGGCTGAGAGAAACACGCAAGCTAGCTCCTTGCAGCCCGGGTGTTATCAGTATTGCGTGTAGCCCTCTGCAGTCAAAACCATCTTTAAAATCTCCAGGAGCCTCCGTCTCTGGCAGTCCGCCCCTCTTCTGCTGATCTGCTCGTTGCCTCCTCAACCTCTTTTCATTCTTCTTTGCATATATCTGCCTTTCTTTACCTACGGCTGTCTTGGTAAATTCTTCACCCCCGTGTGCCACCGGCCCAAATGGTTGTTGCCCACCCGCGACAAAAGTGAGAACCTTTCTATGAAAAAAAGGGGAGTGGGACTCACAGCCACTGTGCCCTCCTGGTGCCCGGCGTGATGTCCCTCTTTCTCATTTAATTGTCACAGTAGCTCTATGAGGTGGGTATTCATCATTTCTTAGAGTTGAAGACAGGGACATAGGTCAAATGACTTCTCCCACATCACCTAGTAGGGATTAGAACCCAGGAGTGTCTGGTGTCTGGATCCCTGTCTCTGATGTGCCAGTGCTACCTGCTCCTGCCTTCTCGGGCAGTCTAGGATCTGGGATGGGACCCACGACCTTCAAGCAGTCTGTTTTGTCTGGATTTTGCTTTCTGGAAGGCTACGTGACCGTCTTACCTTGCAGACTGTTCTGGAGAAATCGGGCGGCCCTACTCCCTGGCCCAGCGGCAGGGGCCAGTGCCTCTCGCTGCAGCCTCGTCTCGAATGGCCCCATTTCAGTTTTACAGCCCCTCGTATCTCATAAAGGGCATACCTGTTATTAGAAGGCCGAGAAGGGGAGTGAGCCCGAAGCAGACCTTTCCCTGTTTCTGTGGAATTCGTCCTGGGGGCGAGGCTCTCCTGTTACAGTTGAAAGCATTCTCTTGGTGCCACAGAAACTGCTCAGAACCCTGAATTCTCTTCCTAATGCCCAGATTCAGAAGATAGGGCCAAGGCAAGGACCGCAGAGAGCCCACTCAGCAGCGATTCAGCCAGCCAGCAATTCCAGTTTTCACCGTGATAATCACAAAGGGAGACTAAACTGTCGACAGATGAAAGGAGTTCAGGATGTCACGGAGGAAGCAGGTCAGGGCTAAGGGGAGTGTGTCTGGGACAGGCAGCACAGACCTCTGCTTCTTGTGTAATGTCTCAGACCTGGGTCACTGGACGTCTTCGCCTTCCAAGCCTCCTATGGTAAAGGCTATAGCAGTGGTTCGTGGCTTTGCTGTTCATGGGACTCACATACAGAGCTTTAAAAAATTCTAAGTCTGGGTTCCCACTGTGGGGGTCTGAATTAGTTGGCCAAGAGTGTGCCAGGGCATTGGAGATTTAAAGCTCCCACATGACGGATGTTCAGCAGAGTTCCCTTTCTGAACCTTTGGGCTATGGGAGCAAGCCGCTTTACCTTTTCCCAGCTGGAACTTCTTGGTTTTCAGAGGTTTGGGAGGCAAGCTGGAGAGTGTCAATTTTTTTTTTTTTTTTTTTGGAGACAGAGTCTCGCTCTGTCGCCTAGGCTGGAGTGCAGCGGCATGATCTCGGCTCACTGCAACCTCTCCCTCCCGGGTTCAAGCGATTCTCCTGCCTCAGCCTCCCAAGTAGCTGGGACTATGGGCACATGCTGCCACACCTGGCTAATTTTTTGTGTTTTAGTAGAGATGGGGTTTCACCATGTTGCCCAGGCTGGCCTCGAACTCCTGAGCTCAGGCAATCTGCTGGCCTCGGCCTCCCAAAGTGCTGGAACTACAGGCGTGAGCCACTGCGCCTGGCCAAGAGTGTCACTTCTTTTTTTTTCTTTTCTTTCTTCTTTTTCTTTTCTTTTTTTTTTTTGAGATGGAGTTTTGCTCTTCTTGCCGAGGCTGGAGTGCAATGGTGCGACCTTGGCTTACCTCAACCTCTGCCTCCCTGTTCAAGCAATTCTCCTGCCTCAGCCTCCCTCTCGAGTAGCTGGGAT